CAGGGGAAGTGGCAGGCCTTTTCTTTGATGTTTTGACATCTTCCTCCTCCTCTTCATCGTCATCCTCATCATCTTCATCAAAAGACTGATCTGCATCCATCACTGCGGGGGCAATTTACAAGGAATTTATAATCAAAAACTACTCCGTCTGCTATGAGGAGTCTTGATTGTGTGAGGGTTATCGCCACATTCTCTGAATTATGAATACTCACTGACAAGGTGCTGTCCACTGATATGGATCGGACCAGAACCTGCCTTCAGGCGAAAAACTGCTGGGGGTGTGATTGTGTAGCCGCCAAGACATGCCTGCAGCAAACCACACAAATAAGCCAGCTGCTGCAAAACTATACAGCAGTTTTTCCTGAGGCAGCACAGAAGCCCCTACATGTGAGGCTAAGGAAGAATAAAGCATAAAATAATTTGGTCGCCAAGGTGTGTTTTCAAGCAGAACATTTACTTACACTTGGCAAGGTAGAGGGCTTAAGTGAAACCAGAACTGCCTTGACCTTCTGACCCTCTGCGTCCTGCCCTTCTACCTCCACCATATGAAGTTCATCTTTTGTGCTGGGGTCCACACACACCTATAGACACAACAGAACATTTGATGTTTTGGTGGTGGGAAATTTCAAACTGAAAATATTAACCAACGATTTGGTATTCACTGTACCACTTGGCTGCATCATTCTCCTCACACAACCACAAGCAATGTGCTCAGTGTGTGGGACACAATGACATTTTGTGTAAGTTTTCACTACATTTTCTACACTGTGTGGTAACAGCTTCAAGTATACAGGGATGAACAAACTGCATGAAAGACACGCACCATCCTCAGATCCAGCTGATGCTCCAAGTCATCATCGTCAGGATTGAAGACCACTTCCTTTCCAGCTTCCAGCACACACCCTGATGAAGAGATTAAAATAAAATTAATTTTAAAAGAATACAAAAGTAGAAAATGAGTAGAACCAATCACTTAGGTGTAAAGCGCTACATATAAGCTGCACACAAGAGGGAGCCCTACAGAACAAGGGGTGAACATTGCCACATGGCAACAGCAGGAATTCCCCTCAAATGAAGAAGGGGGAGAAGTGAAAATCACTTCATCAAAACTTATGCTAAAGTTCTGAAACACCTAGCAAAGACACGTGCCATGTTAATATTCCAATATGCATCCTCTACAGCACAGGTGTCAAACTCCAGGCCTCGAGGGCCGGTGTCCTGCAGGTTTTAGATGTGTCCTTGATCGAACACAGCTGATTTAAATGGCTAAATTACCTCCTCAACATGTTTTGAAGTTCTCCAGAGGCCTGGTAATGAACTTTGATTCAAGTGTGTTGACCCAGGGTGATATCTGAAACCTGCAGGACACCGGCCATTGAGACCTGGAGTTCGACACCCCTGCTCTACAGGTATGACATTTCAATTAACCTGGGTTAAAAGCGAATTGCAGAGCTTTGGACAAGCATCATCAATCTGGAGACAGTCTATTATCAAATTAGGACGATTTGGCTTGGTTTCTGTGTGAAAAAGACATTTAGCTCTTGCTCTTTTAGAACCACCTCAGAATTTGCAACATTAAAACAGTACACTGTAACCGTGTCTGAAGGATCCATCCTAAAAGAATAGGTTAAATTTTAGTGAGTAAGGGGAGCAGAGCGACAGATGAAGAATAGAAACACTCTTTAAGATCTGGGGTGGCTTCTAACAGTTCTTATATGCAGTTGCAGGAAGGGGAGGTCAACGCGGTCCGCGTGTGTTTGAAGCCACGTTGAGACCAATTTCCCCCGCCAGCAGAAAACTGTCAGCTCGAAGAAGAGCTTCAACGGGACAGTTTATCTAAAAAAAGCAGGTGCTTCAATAGAACAGCAGCGTTAACTCTTTGTTTAAAGAAACTGATCAGATATCAACTCTGTTAATAAATCACGGGGGCCGCCATGTTGATAACCAAGCACGTGTGTGGCAAAGTGGTCTGGAGCACAGCAGCTCAGCAAGACTCATTCAACCTCCTGCCACGACTCATAACAACCGACACCACAAGACATTTTAAATGTTTTAAGTGCAAACAGGTCCACTGTCTTCGTCTGGAAGAAGGCACGTGCAGCTAAGCATGCTACGTGTAATTTTTTTCTGTTGCTAACGCCAAAAAAACACGAGAACACAGAATATAAAACAACCTCAAGTCACACATAAAACAAAGTCGTGCTCTCACCGTAAAGGAAGGTTTGTGGTGCCATTGGTTCATTTAGCCCGTTCATGTTTGAGACGAGGACGCTGACAAACTCCTTATATGCTGTAGAAGAATAACCAAATGGTACCAGCAGCCACTAACTAACGTGCTACAGCGCTCCCGCTCTTCTTCTTTTCTCAATGAGGCACGGAGTGAAAAAATCAGCCCACACCGCCACCTACAGGACCGCTGCACAGAGCGTCTTAAAGCTAGCTCCATGGTTTGTGTTGGAAAAGTGTAAACGCGCATTGACTGTTAGGAATTACGGTCATTTTGAAATACGGCTCAACGTTATAGTCCTTCATTTCTTTCCGAAAGCATACTACAGTCATTTAAGATGTTTTCTTTACATAAACCTTTAATTTTACGATTCCATCAAACCTATTATGTTCTTCTGTCGCTGGAAATCTGTCTGTAGGTGTCAGCAGTGTGAAAAAGTCTCGAGCTCTTCCTTATTTCTTTATAGTTTACTTCCAAGTAGCCGGCCTTTCTTGTATTCTTTTTCTGTGTATCTTCTTCTGGAGAAGTTTCATGTTGAACATTGACTTGTTGTCAATTTTATTTATGTAATGCCAAATTGCAGCAACAACAAGGTGTTTTATACTGTAATGGAAAGACCCTACAATAATAAAGTATTAAAAAGTAATTTTTTATTTGTTAAGCCACTCAACACTGATCTATCAGTCATTCAAGAATGATTGAATTAGGACGCATAACTCAAAGGATGAACCTTGAACCAATTTAAAGAAACAATTTTAAATAGTCTCTTTAAGCACTTTACTAGTAGCCCGTCGAAAAATCACATCACTTGTTTCCTTTTTCTGGGTCAATCTATGAGAAATTCCGAAGACAACACAGTTTGATAGGCATAAAACAATATTTTTGCATCACAAGGTAATCCCTAAAGAGCTATTAGCCAAAAACATATTGTGGTATGGTGTGCAGTGTGTCCTTAAAAACATAAAGTGAAGGACAAAAGAAGTGGCAGGTCTAAAAAAATTATCTCCTGCACATCAACACTATTTGAAAGTAAAAAGTAGAAAAAGAAATCCAACAAAGGCCTGACACAGGACCTGAACAATGCATCTAACCGTTCACTTGATCTAACTGCTGTTTGTTGATGCTTCATTAATCTCAGGGAAGTGAAACGGGGATAACAGTTTTAGGTGTGCAGAGTTACAGAAGAACTGGACTGAAAATCTGTGGCAACAGGTCTTATGGAGTGATTGATACAAACCTGAAATTTCACATGTGGAGACCCAACAGTGACTCTACAGCCATATGTAAAACATGATGAAAGCTTTGCCATGTTTTGGGCTCGATGCTGGGATCTTGTCAAAATTGATTAAATTTGAAATGCAAATATGAGTACTAAGACTCTGATCAGAATCAGAATCGTGTTTATTGGCCAAGTATATGTGCAGGCACATACAAGGAATTTGGTTCCAGTAGA